CCTTTACGATAGTGACTCATAATGGCGGTTTCGTCCCACTTGGTTGTTCCAGCATATCTTCGAAATTCCGTAGCATACTTCAATGCTGATCCTGTCTGCTTGAGGTTGAAGATCTTATCTTCCGCTACCTCTAGCTCATTGGAGTTCCCGAAGATTCTACGAATCTCTGTCTTAAATCCTTCAAAACTGTTGAAGATTGTTCGAGTGGGTTGCATGCGATCCTGGTCGTCATGCTCGAAATAGTCTCGTAAATATGGTTGAATCCGCTTGCTTGCTTCTCCTCTGAGATATGATACAGCCCATACACTCTTGAATTCCTTTTCGGTGAACTTGTCTTCGTTGAATCTGAAGTAGATTTCAAGTTGTAAGAGGAAGGTGTCGAGTTCCTGTCGAATTCCTTGGTATTTGTCTGGTAAGGCAATCTTGAGTGTTTCGTTGATGGTAATCTCCTTGGGAGCGTCGGTCATCTCGATATCGTTGATGTCGGGTGCTTGTGCCTGACTGCTCGCGGATGTATTGGTGGGTGCCATATCGTCGGTTGGTATTGAATTGGTACTTGAAGCAGAAATGGTGCTCAAAGTGTTACGGGAGCTGCCTCTAGGGTCACGTGGAAGTGTCTAGAGATCTCTCGAGGTGGTTTAGACTAGACTTCAAGTAGGAATTCAATAAGGTTGTAACTGGTTGCAATTCTCGTAACTATAGTATGAAACTAATGATTGATCTTGAGCACGAAGCTCTACATTGTAATGAAACCCATTCCCTTATATAGACCTTCGTTCCTTGTTGTCCCATTGATCCCATCGTGTCCCACCAGGTGGGAGCAGTGGGATCCAGTGGGAATCTCTAATCCCGTGACTTTCTGATCAGGTGACTCGGTATGTTAGATGTCGTCGTAACAACATGCTGATATAGCCCACATGCTGATAAATTACGTTAAACCAATATTATATTAACTTATTATATTATTATATAGATTAAAAGGTATTTATAAATATTAAGAATATAAAAACCTTTTAAAAAGTAAAGAAATTAGATAATTAATGAATAGGATTATATAAGATTATAAAAGTTTATTCTTGTTTTTATTTTGTTTAATTATTAAATAATATTCAAATATTTCCTGTTTTTTTATTATTCATTACTTATTTCTATAATCAATAGAATATATTTCCTAATATAAATTATAATTAATAAATCAAAATCAATTATTATTAAAAATAGTATTTTCAAAAGAAAGAATAACAAAAATAAATTAATACAGAAGTAAATCTTTGAAGAAGTTATAGATAATTATAATAAAGATGATCATTATTATCTAATTAAATGAAAATATTATGCTTCTATTTAACAATCAATAGCAAACTTGAAAAAAAACGAAAGACTATTAATAAAATATTATTATATATATTCTAAAAAGCTTAATTTATTAAGATGAATTTTAAATAACTCTAAAACTAAAACAATCTTATTATTTATACTAAAACATTTAGAGAAGATATAGAGAGTTTGAAGATCAACTTGTAAAAGAAAAGTTAGATTAATGTAAAGTATTTAAATTACTAATTCAACAAATTCAATTATTTATTTAATTTATATATAATAATAAACTATATAATGGATTTAGCTTACTTAGAATAAGTAAGTGTTACGACAGACATCACATGACACATTCGCGTGTCACATGAGGGAGCCTTGGGGAGCTACGGGCTCCAGGAGCATACGGATCCTAGGGGCTCCAGATGACGAAGGTCTATATAACAAATGAGTTTCATTAGGATATAGAGCTTTGTGCTCAAAAACAATCATTAATTTCATTACTATAGTTACGAGAATTGCAATCAGTTATAACCTTATTGAATTCCTACTTGAAGTCTAGTTTAAACCACTTCGAGAGATCTTTAGACATTTCCACGTGACCCTAGAGGCAGCTCCCGTAACAGTAAGCTCTTAAGGAAGAGTATTATCATGAGTTTAATATATAATTATATGAATATCTAAGGTATTTATCCTTTATATAGTCGATACTTCTTCATCTTCTTCTTCACTTTTAGTAAAATATCATATATTTTATCTAGTATCTATCTCTTACACCGTAATAATTATTATAATTATAAATAACATAGTTCATACACGAGCGAATCATATTATTAAATGAATTACTTAATTTATATATAAAATTTGTCTGTATATAACCGTATACTTTTTTTATTAGTAAATAGAATTATTCAATTTCTTATATAAAATCTAATTTTTCATTTATTTTATAAATCTAATCTTTATTTAAAAAATCTAATTATTATTAAAGTTATTAAGAAAAAAAGAGGGTTTATAATATAAAATATAATAATTCTAAGCTAAAATGAATTATTTTAAAAAGAATCTAAATAACGTAACTTATGGTGAACCGGGTCATATGGGGAATCGGGTTATAAAATTCAATTCTCTTTATATGATCTTGTTTTACGAGCTATATATTCATTCAATTCTAATTCTAAATTACTTGAATTAATTTTTGGTTCTTTTTCTTCAATCTCCTTTTCTAATTTTTCAATTAGATGTTTATGTGGTTGTTCTCGTGGCTTTTTCTTTTTAGGTTTTTTCTTTGCTTTATGTATTATTTTCAGTACTTTCTTATTATTAAAGACAAATTGATTTTGTAATTTGATTCTTTTATTTTTAATTCTTTTCTTTTGAATTTTAATTATTTCTTAAATATTAGTGATCTGTTTCCGAAATAGAGCTATCTCAGTATTTTGAGATTCTACAAGCTTAATTATTCTTTTAGCATATTAATGAATTGGTGATATAAAAGAATCATTATTTACTAGAACTTTATTAAAGGTTTGATTTACTTGTCTTAATTCTGTCCCATTTGAAGGAGAGCTTCTAAATATAGATAAATCTAGATCTTGATTGGAAATTCTTATTTATAAAGTGGAAGGTTGTTAGGAGGAGTTAAATAATAATGAATTAAGTATTTTTCATAAGGCAAAAGGTATTAAACCAGCTCCTCTTCAATCAGCTTTAATATTAAAAGAATTCAGTACTTTTTTTCTAATATTTTGAAAGAGTTCTATTTATTCAATTCTTTAATTTCGCTTTATATTAGCTCGAGAATATTGATCGACCTTTAAAGTATAATATTGTTTTATTAGCCTATATATTATAATATTAAGTGATTAAAGTAAATAAAAGTAATAAAGAGGTAATATAAGTAAATCGATATCCTTCTCTATATAGAAAGCAATAAAGCTGCCTGTAATATAACTTGAATAGCTATTTATAATCAAAAATCAAAATCAATCATCTAACACTTTCTTGAATTCTAATTCGAAAACCCTTTTTAGTCATTCTAATTTATAACTATTTGAAATCTATTTATTCATATTAGTAAAGAACTATTAGTTTTGAGATATATCCTTTGAAATTTATACAGAATTTGTATTCTAAGCCTTGAAAATGATTATAAATAATAAAGCTTTTTTAACTATATTAATATATTCAAATATAGTTATTCATTCTTATTTACCAATTGTAACTTTCTAATTCGATTTCTGAGTAGAATTAATTATAATATATATACTTTGAATACTTCCAATTTTAAATCTGGTTTTATTCATATTATATATATCATTTAATTCATATTTTCGTTTAATAAGATATATACGAAATATATCAAATTAAGCTTGAATATTCTTCAATATTACCTCTTTAGCTTGATTAGACTCTAATTGATATAAATAATATGTTTTAAATTTTAAATGTCGTTTTTGAAATCTATAGATTCATTTGTAGCCTATAGATAGAATTTCTGTTGAGGTAGGAATTCGAGATAATGTAATCTGAATGTATCTGTTACGATGGTCTGCCACAATAGACGTCACGTGACCCCGACGCTTAGGTAACCGGATCAGAGGGATCATTAGTGATCCAGTTGATCGGATCAGAGGGATCATTTGTGATCCGACTGAGCACAGAGAACGAAGGTCTATATAAAGGAATGGGTTTCATTACAGTGTAGAGCTTCGTGCTCAAGAACAATCATTAGTTTCATTACTATAGTTACGAGAATTGCAACCAGTTACAACCTTATTGAATTCCTACTTGAAGTCTAGTCTAAACCACCTCGAGAGATCTCTAGACACTTCCACGTGACCCTAGAGGCAGCTCCCGTAACAGTTCCTTATATAACCCGGTTCACCATAAGTTATGTTACTATAAGTATTTCATTTTTATTATAGTTTTTCATTATTTTTTCATTGAAAAGTAATAATTCATTATTAAAATAAGAATATCAAAAATGACTAATTTTGATGCATTTTTCAAGTGATTCATTCGGTGATATGATCTACTCGTATATGAACCACGTTATAACTATTATATTGTATTATATCATAGTAGCCGGAGTACTAGAGGTTATTTCTTATTTCTCGTCGGGGAATAAAAGGATGAATGAATGAATGAAAGACAGAAGACAAAAGACTCATTCTCTTATTTCTTCATGCAAAGAGAATATTCATCATCTATCGCAACGAGGAATAGGAATAGCAAATAGGAATCACAATCGGGGGTTCGGGTCCTTAGTCATAGTCGTAGTCATGGTCATGATCGCGGGAGCTGAAAATCGCAAACCGATACCTGCTACTTTGGGATAGGAGGTTACATTGGAGTTCGTGTTTGTATGGCGATGATTTGCTGATGCTACTTCATCTTCGCTAATGTCACTTGATTTGCTGATGTCTCGATGTTACTCTGTTGATGTGGTTGTTACCTTACCTTTGAACTTGAACTTTTGTGCTTACTATGTAGGTAGGTAGGTATGTAGATATGTATATATACTTGACTTACTTTGGATTTGAGAAGAGGGGCTCTTCTTTTCTTTTTCTTATCCTTTGGCACATTTGTATTGTTAATTCTTTGAATAATTGTATAAGCGTGGAGTAGCATACAGGCGTTTCAGATATATATTTGAATATCGTTCTGTTATTTCATCATTGACCATGAAGATCTCCACTTCGATTTTTCGGCATGGATGCGCGTGGATCTTCATGTGTATTGGGTTTGTGGATGCGAATGCAAATACAGATGCGAGGGTAGATGAGAAGAGAAACACACCCCTCTATGATTTCCAAGCCCGGAATCGCGATACGTAGGTTTCCCTTTAATACAAACCTCTTTACTTCCGTTTCTTACTTCCGTTTCTTCTCTCTACTGATCTCTATATCCACCCTCTACCCATCTGGATAAAGTTTCTATGTCACTGACCTGGAGGGTTATGTCGAATGAATAAAGTATCAGTCAAATATACAACACAACGATTTATCCTAACAATCTACCGATTCTTACGAATGGGTCGGCGGCTACACCAAAGGGATTGTTTAATGAGAATGGTATGTTTGTGTTTGTGTTCATGTTTGTTTGTCGTTTTTTCTTAGTTTGATGTTTCGTCTGAGGAGAAGAGGGGAATAGGGGGAGTAGTTACTACTTTGGCTGTTCGTTTCATTGCATGAGATACCATCTTTCAATTTCCCACATTTCAATTCCCTTACGATAGATGGGATCAATTCAAGCACTCAGATACTCCTCAACCACTTCACCACCAAAACCAAAACCAAATCACAAAACTAGAAAACTACACAAGAGTCCAGAAATCAAATCTAACCCCGCTACCTCACAATAGCCACAGGACGTATTTCCCCCCTCGGAAACTTCACCGGTTTCGACGACTCTACTGAGTATTTCTTTGCTCTTTCTCCTATTCCCGGTAAAACTGGGGTTGGGATCTTGCGTTTGTTTTTTCCATTTTCATTTACATGATCTCCCTCCTCCTTCTCCTTTCCCCCCAGAATTCCATTCCCAATCCCATTTGGATTTCCTCACTTCATATCAAAATCCCACTCACCATCCACTCCCACTCCAGAACCAAACTACAACGCCTTCACATCCTACGAACTACACGCCTTCACCTCGGGCTGTCCAGAAGTAGCAAGTACAATCGCATATCTCAACACCACGATTGTGAACCCGGCTTCTGCTTCACATGGACAATATGTTACAAAGATCAAAGAAATTGCTTTTTGGCGGTATATTTCTCATTTATCCCTTACCCCTTCCTCTCCTCTATTTCTCTTTCCCCCTCCTTTTTGCCCTCTCATCAACTCCCCAAATCTCTTCTTGATCGACCCCCCACCCCCCCCCCCCCCCAAAAAAAAAGAATCAAAAAACAGAAAGAAAAAAAACCAGAACCTAACCAACCCCCAAGATTCGACAACAAAGGAGCCGTCCTCTACTACGACGCCCAAATCCCCAATCTCTCCCTCTGGTTTTCCAAATTCACCGGCGCCGATATATCGAATCCCGCGGTTCAGGCTCTTGATATCGTGACGAATCTGTGTCCGCAGATACAGGCGAGATGTACGGGTGCGAATCGGGTTTATTCTAGGTATTTTCCATTCCACGATTTTTCCATTCCACGATTTTTCCGATCGGAGATGCGGGCGAGGAAAGTGGAGCAGTCATGGGGAAATGCTAATGCATCGTGCGAAAAGCGATACCGAATGTATAGCGACGCTTTTGGCGAAACGGTTTGGTACTTTTGATGAGACGTGGGGGGATAATATTGTGTGTCGATTGGTACATGTTGTTTTGACACAGGTTAGACCGGAGGTATTTATCATTTTTCTAATCATTGTCACTTTTTCTTCTTCTGTGGATAGGTTACTCTATGGGAGCATTCTGCTTTCTCTTCTCCCCCTTTGCCTGACTTCAGGATTTCCCTTCTCTCGTTACTTAACTCTATCTCCTTCATCTTACGCCTCTATAATTCGTCCTCATTCTCGCCACAAACCCCGTAAAAGTAAACAAACAACTAACAGAAAAAAAAGGTACACTGTCCCCACGTCGGCCCAACAGGCGGTATGAAATGCGTTGATTACGATTACAACCAAGGGTATCTGGCAGATGACTTGGCACTGTTTGGTAGTAATGATGCTTTTCGGTGTCCTGGGGAGTAGACAGTTTGCCAATTATGTTTGAAATGATTCTGGGGACCAGGAGGACTGTTGTGTGTACGTACATTATTGATGAAGAGTTGGAACCCTTTCGCACTCTCGAGGAAGCTCTCAGCTGGCCTTCAATTATTGGGATTCTGGTATTTCCATTTTCTTCGAAAGGATGTTTTTGAAACCCTCTTTGTGAGTACGCAATCTAAATACTGCGGCTTATATAAAATTCCAAATGCTGCATTGATTCTGAGAGGCGAAGTAATTGTGTTAGCCAGGCCCATCTGTTGGATTGTCACTTCCTCTGAAGGAAATCGAGCAACGTTCGAAAAGCCATGAATGGATGTCTGGAAATTGTCAAGAGCATATGTTTCTGGTTAACATAGGGTTAGAGGGCGATTGAAACCCCTGTTCTAAGGATGGAAGTAAAGCTCGAGAATGACGCTTAATTCGGATTCTACTTGATCCCAATGAAACTGCCTGAACGGAAATGCTGTTGAATGTCCAAGGATTGTTATAGTACCGCTAAATAAAGAAGTCGTTACGCTCTCGATAACCTCAAATACATATCTGAAGGTAGAATGATATAAGCTTGTTGCAGTATGGAAATTGTATTACCCCTCTTCGCTACCCCTAGGATTGCGATGACGGAGCCGGCACGAATCCGGATGTTTTTCAAAATTGTAATCAGATACCAGGTACGCAATTGCATGTCGTTGTCTCAAATCTAAGTCAACCAGCTGATTATGAGATGAGGGAAATGTTCCCATTGAAAGAAGCATAATGACTTGGATCAGCGCTGCAAAATTTGACCACTTGGTGCTACGAATGGTGTCTGTGCATTCGCATGAATGTTAGGAAGTGAGTACTCCCTAGAAGATCACACAACGATCTCACTTCACTTCAACATTCATCAAATGTTATAATTCTACGACTCTAAACAAGTAATCCCACCCCTCAAAACTTCCTCATAACATCATTAATCAAATCCCCACCAAACGTGGCACCTGCACCAAAAACCGCAGCATTACCAAACTTCGTAGCCATCTTCTTTGCCCATTCGTGATGCTATCATTGATTAGCTTTCCATCATAAACTGAATACCCATGAGACATACCTTGGGGTTTTGAGGATGTGCGGGATGACTTGGATCTTGCGCTTCTTGGCTCATTTTACTGGGGTTAAAACCACCGTTGGGATTGTAGCGAGGATCTATGTATGGAGATGGTTGACCATTCCCTTGCTGTGTTTGGCGTTAGTATAGCTGGACTTTGAGTCGATACGGTTGTCGGGATATGAGAATGATTGGTGAATGGAAGAGGACACTCGAGAGACGCGGCTATATGTCTAGAGTGTCAAAGAACGAGGATACTTACCGGAAGTTGTGCCATAATTGACTGAAATTGAGCTGGAGCAACCGCACCACTTTGTTGCAAGTATTCGAGCTCAGTTCGAATGGTATTGAGCGATCGATTTATGGATGCTTGGTCTGGCATATTGAAGTTGAGTTATATATTCGTGTGTCGTGAATGGAGTATTGTAACAGGAATTGATTATCCCTTTATATCGGTAACGTTATGTGAATACCAGACCAGCCGAAGTCGTTGCTCGTATTTTCAGTGTGATATCCAGGTAAGGAAGGAGGTCAAATGAATCAACGTCATCGATAATGTTTTTGGGTGAAAGATTTTGCCATGTTTGACCGCTTTATATTTATCCCCTCCTGTTCCATGTTTAATTAATAATAAGTAGGTAACTTCGAACAACTCCGAATATATCAAACCTCACACTCTCTTTACATGTAATCTATACATATATCAACATGCCTAGCCCATCATCTTTAAGCAAGACTATCGCCCTCAACAATGGCATCCAAATGCCCCGTATCCATCTCGGTGTTTACATGACCTCTGGACGAGAAACCGAAACCGCCGTATCAACCGCTCTCGCAGCAGGATATCTCGCATTCGATTCTGCTGAATGGTATGCGAACGAAGCGCAAGTCGGTTCAGCGATAAACAAACATTTGAATGCCAATAAAAATGTCAAAAGAGAGGATTTCTGGTTTACGACAAAATTAAAAACAAACGCAAGTTATGATGCTACAAGGAAGGCTGTGAAGGATAGTTTGAAGAGAAGTGGCTTGGATTATATTGATTTGTATCTATTGCATAGTCCGTATGGTGGGAAGAAGCGTAGATTGGAATGTTGGAGAGCGGTCGAGGATGCTATTGCTGATGGAGAGGTGAGGGCTGGTGGTGTGAGTAATTATGGTGTGAAACATGTAAGTTTTCCCCTCTCCAGGTCCTCCTTTCACAATCTCCAAGTGTGCATTTAGATTGTTCCTCTCGATTGTTCCAAGATTCCTCGACTTGGTCGGCGTAGCTCTCTCGGCTCGATGTCCTAAATCTTGTATAATTTCTCTCCGTTTACTCGCAGACACGAGGCTAATATTATCCTCGCAATACCTAGTTACAAGAATTACTTGATTCCAAGCCACGAATAACCCCCGCTGTGAACCAAATCGAAGTCCACCCATTCAATACTCGAACCGATATTACTTCGTTCTGTCAATCGAACGGTATCGTTGTCGAAGCGTACGCACCTTTGGCTCGAGCATTGCGCATGAAGCATCCAAAGATCGTCGCTTTATCGAAGAAATATTCCTGTAGCCCGGCGCAATTATTGGTAAAATGGTCTTTACAACATGGTTATGTGCCGTTGCCAAAGAGTGTAACCAAAGCAAGAATCCTTTCTAATGGTGATGTTGATGGCTTTGAAATTGAGGATGGGGATCTGAAAGAAATGGATGGCTTAGATGAATATTTGGTAACTGATTGGGATCCTACAGATGCGGATTAATTAGATTGATTAGTACTGAATAACCCAGAGTTGAAATGCAATGTTCATGATCGCAAAGAGAATCATATTAAGAATCTCTCCCCCTTGAGCCAAGTTTACCTCCCCCTGAACAGTTGAAGCATTCTGCTTTTCCTTCAACTCTCATAGTGAGATGATTGCCAAAGCCCCTTTATCACTTTTTGGCTCACTATACACCAAATATCGATGAAGATTGCGACCAACTATGGAGTTGGGTTGTTCTTGTAGAATGAAACGTCTCGGCGATGTTGTAAAATGAATTCCAAGATTGAGTCGAGACTGAATTGCCCATGTCCTATTTTCGGGAGATTCCTACAATATTCACCACGCATCTCCTCATCTCCCCATCCCCCCTCATAAATTACCCCTCATCCGATACCGGGAAAATTCCGATTATCTTCACCAAGACTCGAAACATGGGCATCCACCTTGAGCCACCTTGGTCGGACGTATTGTACGGAGTAATTAGTAGGAGTAATTATGCTTTACAAAGTGTTGAGTCGCGAGGGAAGCGATTGCCGCAAGAAACACCCTATGAGGGCAAGGTGGTGGCACAGAGCAGTTGTTACGCTTCTGCAGGAAGCAAATGAAGTATGAAGTGTGAAGTGTGAAATATGAAATGTGAAGTATGAAATGTGAAATATTACCCAATATTACCCAATATTTTCATGGGTACAGTTCCAAGACTTCGGGACATGTAGGAAGACGGGGAACTCTCGGGGGAAATGTAATGTAACCTGGTTTTGAATGTTTTGAATACACATCTCATCAAAGAGTCACCTGATTCAAGGTTATCCTTGATCACCTGCATATACCCCCGCGTGGCGAGAGATCTTTGCATGCGCCATACATACATGAAAGCTTGGGCTGTGTTTAATCTATACCTGTGCGTATTGACCAATAGGAGATGTACGATAAGAATTTCTATTTGATTCATCAGTGACACCGTATATAACATGTCATTGGTCGATTTCAGCCTCTAGAGGGGAGTGCTCTACACATCTCCATTGTCCCACGCAGATACACCAAATATGCAATGTAACGATTCGACCGATCACGGCGTCGAGGGGGTCACGTCATGTATCAGATTTTCTTCAATTTTCTTCAATTTTCTCCCATGGAACACTTGGAACTCATGGAACACATGGAACATGCAACTCCGCTGTCAGAATCAAGGTTTCTACTGTACAGGCCATCGTTTTCAAAGTCCAAACAATTATGCAAGAGATTGAGTGAGACATTGTGATTTGACAGGAAGAATGTATTAATTGGAAAATCTTGATCAAGTCATCCACCTTCATTACTTTTTTCACCCCTCCTCTCCTCTCCTCTCCTCTCCTCTCCTCCCCTCCCCTCCACCCCCCTCCACTCCCGTCCCCTCCCCTCTATCCGAGCCTCCAATATCGGAGTCATAAAAAGATACTCGAGGCATGGATGCACATACAAGCCTTCACCTAGCGAGACAATTTATTATCAATGGGTCCTGAACCGGCACCAAAGTGTGACTAGTTCGTAGACTCTAATCCACCCCACCTCGATACAAAAAGGTCTCTCTTCCCTTCAGTCGTGCGAATTACTTTACCCCATCTACCAACTTCTATTCTTCTTTTTCACTTAACCTTCATATTGCCAATTTCTTCATTTGATACCCAAACAACCACAATATTAATCATGTCTAACCTTCCATCTGAGCCTGAGTTCGAGCAAGCTTACAACGGTTTGTGCCTCCTTGTGCCTCTTTGTGCTTCCTTGCGCCCCCTCACAAGTCATTCAATAACTAACAAATACTCCTTCAGAGCTTGCCTCCACTCTGGAGAACTCCACTCTTTTCGAGAAGAACCCAGAATACCGCACCGCCCTCAAGATCGTTTCCATCCCAGAAAGAGTTATCCAATTTCGTGTCGTCTGGGAAGATGACAAGAACCAAGTCCAAGTCAACCGCGGATACCGTGTGCAATTCAACAGCGCTCTCGGACCATACAAGGGAGGATTGAGATTCCACCCTACCGTCAATCTCAGTGTTTTGAAGTTCTTGGGTTTCGAGCAAATCTTCAAGAATGCTTTGACCGGATGTAAGTTTAAACTCTTCCCCAACTTCGATTCGATGACAGCGGATATCAATCACGAACAAAATGCTGACGATTATTCTCCACAGTGAACATTGGAGGTGGTAAGGGAGGAGCCGACTTCGACCCAAAGGGTAAATCCGACAACGAAATCCGCAGATTCTGCGTTTCGTTCATGCGCGAATTGAGCAAGCACATTGGAGCCGATACCGATGTCCCAGCTGGTGACATCAACGTTGGAGGAAGAGAAATCGGATTCCTCTTCGGTGCCTACAAGGCCATCCAAAACAAATGGGAGGGTGTTCTTACTGGAAAGGGAGGAAGCTGGGGTGGATCTTTGATCAGGCCTGAGGCTACCGGTTACGGTCTCGTCTACTACGTCGCCCACATGATCCAATATGCTGGTCAAGGTTCATTCCAAGGAAAGCGCGTTGCCATCTCCGGATCCGGAAACGTCGCCCAATACGCCGCTCTCAAGTGTATTGAGCTTGGTGCCACTGTTGTATCCCTCTCTGACTCTCAAGGTTCTTTGATCGCTGAAGGAGATGCATACTTCACCCCAGAAGACATTGGAAAGATCGCCGAGTTGAAGCTCAAGAGGCAATCTCTCACCGCTTTCGAACACGGAGGAAAATACAAGTACATTGAGGGTTCCAGACCATGGACCCACGTCAAGGTCGATGTTGCACTTCCATGTGCTACCCAAAACGAAGTCAGCAAGGAAGAGGCTGAGTCTCTCGTTGCCAGCGGTGCTAGATACATTGCTGAGGGATCTAACATGGGTTGCACACAAGAGGCGATCGATGTCTTTGAGGCTGAGCGCAAGGAGAAGAAGGGTGAAGCCATCTGGTACGCACCAGGAAAGGCTGCCAACGCTGGTGGTGTCGCTGTCTCCGGTCTTGAGATGGCACAAAACAGTGCTCGTATCAGCTGGACTCAAGAGGAGGTTGACGAGAAGCTCAAGGATATCATGAAGAATGCATTCGAGAACGGATTGGAGACTGCCAAGAAGTACGTCGAGGCAAAGGATGGCGAATACCCATCTTTGGTTGCTGGTTCCAACATTGCTGGATTCGTCAAGGTTGCTAGTGCGATGCACAACCACGGTGACTGGTGGTAGATGTTTATGATGTTGATGATTTATATGGCTGGATATGTTAAAAACTTGTATATATGATGCGGAATTTGCGGGTTGGGTGGGAAATATCTTTTGCGTGGGAAATTGGGTAGCTTAAAGTTATGACTTTGATGGAAATGAACTAAATAACTAAAGAAATATCTGAGATTTTTGGCAGCGAATGGTTATGTGTTCATGACTGAATTTTCTTTAGTAGTTAAATTTGTCGGCTTGTCTCATGGAATATCTGCACATCAGATGGAACTCCAAATGACCGCAGCTAATTGATATAGGCAAGTGTGTCATTCCATTCGTGCCTCTTGAATTGTGCCTCTAGCCTCCTAACAAGTTATCCGAAACTAGCAGTCTCGAATTCTCAGGTTCACCCTTACTCCCTACGTTACGTTGCCCCAGCGAAGCAATTGAAGAGCTGCAAGTTTCCCAGAGAATTAAATGGCTAAATCTCGAGATGAAAAGTAACTCTTTAATAACTTTTTTATTTTGAGGAATTAGAACGAAAACTCTTTTTATAGTAAGATATTATTTAATTTTTGATTTAATGTTAAGATATAAAAACAAGAGATTTAATATTAATAAAGATGAATAAAATCTAAAATGTATTATGAAATTGTACTTATTTGTGTTTTATTTATTGATTAATTTTAATATATTACTTTTCTTTTCTTTTATTTTTTATTCAAATTTTATAAAATTTTATTTTTGTATAGAAAATATATACATAAGTGATTATATAGAATTTTATTGAATTAAATTAAAATTTATAGAAGTTATATTGAATTTTAGTTTATAAATCGAGTACTCTACTTTCGAGCCACTCTCCTTTTGAGCCACTTTTCACACCAAAAATGGAATTTCTGACTTTCTTATTTATAGATAAAATTTATTGAAAATTTATATATATATAATTCAGATCGTTTTGAATCTAATTTAAAAATTTAGATTTTTAGGATTTCTTTATATTGAGAATCAAAACTTTAAAATATCGATTTTTAAATTTATATAAAAATTATATACAAATTTAAAACTTTTATAAAATCTTTAATAACTTTTTAACAAAAATTATTAAAAATAAATTAAAAAGTTTTATTATAAGTTTATAGTATATTCACTTTGAAAGATTAAAAAAAATAGAAAACTTTTTATAAATAAATATTTAGAAAAATACCCTTAAAATTATACGAATTATTTATACTATTCTAAACTCATTATATACTATATCTTTATATCTGTTAATTTTTTTTTAATTTTTTTTTGGAATTTCTATATAAATTTAAGTTCAAAGCTTTCAAAAAGATATATAGTTTTCTTTTAATAATTATTATTAAAAAGTTATTAAAGATTTTGTAAAAGTTTTAAATTTATATATAATTCCTATAAGTTATAAATTAAAAAATTGATATTTTGAAACTCTAGATTTTAATATAGAAAAATCTTGAAAATCTAAAAATTTCAGATTAGATTTAAAACGATCTGAATTATATATATATATAAATTTTCAATAAATTCTATCTATAAATAAGAAAGTTAAAAATTCTATTTTTTGAGATTTTTAATGGTAAAGAGTGGCTTAAAATAGGGGTGGCCAGAAAATAGGGTATTCGACTTACTCTATATCTTTAGTTATTTCGCTGAGTACATAAAGTTTTAATAAATTCTATTCATAAATAAAAAAGATGTTAATAAACTAAAAAAGTGATTTTTAGTGTAAATCAATAGCTCAAAAGAAAAGTGGTCAGAAAGTCAAGTATTCAACTTATATTACAAACTATTATAATGTACGATAACTAAGTTCGATATCTCTTACATTTTGTAGTGTAATGAAAGGTATTGGATGAAGACTTCCGCGAAGGCACATTCTAGATATGAGAGGCCATAATATGATATGGTTGACATTGTCATTAAAGCCGAAGTAAATGCAAGTCGACATCAGATTGGTCCATATAAGTAATGTGTAACGTTACCATTCTATCCCTAAACACACGTACTCTCCAATCGGCATTTCTAAAATAACTCTAAATTTAAGTATCAAGGTTCTGCTTCTACCGTGCCTGGCTATCAATCTCTCAAAGCCCCAGATCGACACGCGTAGATGATTTGAAAGTCACCTTCGGCATGTATAGAAGTGGGACGAATCATGCACATCTACCGAGCTACCTCAGATATGTTAGGCGACTTGAGATTTATCTACCCCTGAAAACATTCACTTCCCCGGTCTCCCCCGGAAATCTCAAGGTAGATGGAGAATGTAACAAGGCTATGTCGCAAGTGAAATTCTCTTCTAGGAAGGTAGCCAATGTAGAAGCTTTGCCATTACTGGAATGATTGACTCTGGGACGAGCAATCTCCGCGTTCTCTAATCATCTTAGAATGCGATGGTAGTGAGAGTGAGAGGAGATATGTATCTGGAATATTATCATCAACCTTACAGAAGGTTTCCTATCTCGGCTGAATCCTTTCGGTAGAATTCTTTTAGTGACTTCGTCATGCAGCCTTGTACTGCGAGTCTATGGCTCATGTGGTACAGACAGAGACAGCGACAAGATCTGTGGAATGGCGGTAATCCCGTTTCCCAACCAAATTCGCTTCATTTACCCTTTTTCCCTAGATAGAGTGAGCTAAGAAAACTTAATATCCTTCGCGCAAAGATTCGGTTCTCCTTTTTCATGCGTGTGAAATCTCTAATGTCCTCCACGAGATACAGAATGTAACATCAGACACTTTGGGCGCCTAGACGTTGGCTTTGCTATGGTACAAGTGATTTGAGTTTCATCTCCGATGATCAATGAATTGTCCATCATGTGAAGTTTAATGATAATGGCATGCTGTAGAGTCGCGCAAGAAGGACCGAATGCTTGGTGCTGGTATTGATAGGCCCTTGTAACTTCATCTTGTGGAATTTGGATTGAGGAATTGAGTGAGTGCATCATGGTTATCAGTTGATTTTGTCGCGTTATTGATTTGAGCATGGGGGGAGTGAAAAGAGGTAAAGGAAATGTATAAAACCATAGATATAGAACTTCAGAGGAATCGCCTGGTCACCATTCTTCTTGCTTCTTGTGTATAGATTTTCCGTTTCCAAGTCAGCATGATGAACTCAAAGCCCACTTTGTCACTTGGGATTTCCTTCTTTTCGATACTCTCTACTATAAATGCCCAATATTCCCTCGCAGCTACATACAACGCAGCCAACTTCTTCAGTGACTTCACGTTCTTCACCGCAGCTGATCCAACAGCAGGATATGTGGTATATGAAGCACTCGCTGCTGCTGAAGAAGCTGGTCTGGTATCCACAGCAAATAATCAGGTATACTTGGGAGTGGATCATACCACAATTAATCCAAGTGGAGGACGAGAAAGTGTGCGATTAACCAGTAACCAAGCATGGGGTGAAGGTATAAAGATTCTGTCAATTGATGGGGGATAAGCTGACCAGAAAAGGTGTCTTCATAGCAGATATTGAGCACATGCCCAATGGCGTGTGTGGTATATGGCCTGCCTTTTGGATGTTTGGTCCGAATTGGCCAAATAGTGGGTTAGTTTCCCGTCTTTCCAAATTGGCCATGAGATACTAAAGAATATCCAGAGAAATCGATATCATCGAGGGAGTCAACCTTGGCACGACTAATACGATAACACTTCACACCGCCGCTGGCTGTACCGTCAGCAACGCAAATTCCCAGAGTGGAACGACCACTATAACATCAAATTGTAATCAAGACAATGCGGGCACGGGATGCGGTGTTGCTACATCAGTATGTCAACAAATATCCCATCACGAAGTTTTGGATGTACTAACCACAGAATAGAACACCCAGAATTATGGCACCGGCTTCAATGCAGTTGGTGGTGGCGTGTATGCGATGCAATGGGCTAGCACTGGTATATATGTCTGGTTCTGGCCTCGAGGATCCATCCCAGCTGATATCACTGCTAAAGATATTGATGTCAGTTCTTGGGGAACCCCCTTGGCAACCTTCAGTGGTAGTGGTTGTAGTTTTGACAAGTCGTTTGCTAATCAGAATATCGTCTTTGATACCACGTTCTGTGGAACGTGGGCAGGATCTGTTTGGTCTTCGGGCTCTTGTGCTAGTGCGGCTTCGACTTGTCAGGGTTATGTTGCGCAGAATCCGAGTGCGTTCACTAATGCTTATTGGGCGATTAACTATGTTCAGGTTTGGCAATAGAGGAGAGTGGGCATTGGCAGTTGTTTATTGGGATGTGGGAGGTTCGTATGGTTCTCTATATAGTTTATTGTAAATATTGGTGTAAATATTTTAGCGAGTGTCGGGAAATGGCTTTACCAGTGATAACTTGCAAGTGGTGAATCACACCCACCAACTATAAGAGATCTTGAAAACTGTGAATTGGACAAGTCGTTCAGTGAAGTTGTCTCTTTAATCTAATCAACTACCTGGTCTCTCCGAGATTCATTTCTTCGAATTGACCTGTAGGAGTTTGCGCTGTATCTTTGGAGGTATCAATCCCCGCGGCTTAAATATTGATCCTACACGATATTCGAGACTCGCGACAGGCGTTGACCACGCTTAAAGGAGCACAGTTATCACCTAGAACTCACGAGACTCTACGAGCCATTCCTGATACTCGAAGGCATTCGCACAAGTCAGACTGATCATCAGGTCATATTTGAGAATGTGCAGATACCGACTTCACTCGTGGTGAACACATTTCACTGGTCTACAAAACCAGAATCATAAGTCCATATTTAGTCTCCATTGCAGTTCCTGCTGTGTAGAATCCGAGAACATGATATGAAGGATCAACCATTTCTATCTTTCGCGACGTTGAGAGAAGGTTTGGTTTCTGAGCTTGTTTTGTGGAGCTGATTCCAGGGGCTTGCAGGGTCAGATTGCCGTTGATATCCCTAAACCCACAGTGTATGCATGGACACTCGCAATTGATAACGACGTCGCTTGTAGAACATTGGTAGTCTTCCCTCTGAACGACTCCCAAAAATTGTGATCGTTCATCGAGTTGTCAGCTTTAATCAGTAGTTCACCCCACAGATTTGTTAATATTACTAAGTGTGTCGATTAAATGGTCTGGGTGCGACCCATATCAATAATACATCGGCGTCGACGCAGAGCACAGTCCAATGCTGGCTGGTTGCAACAATTTGCTTCGCAGGCACCCGGCAGTAAGAAGAGCAAAGAGTCCTAAATAGATTGACTTGTGGAAGCTGTCACAAATGACAGACACGAGCCCGATGTATTGCATTTTGTATCGATTTCTGAAATCAACGACTATTACCATTCATATCCACGTTCTTAGATTTCTGCCACTGCCCCGTCGATATTCCTAAACTTAATGATGAGCTGCAATCAACAGTTACTATTCTTCTTTTTGGCTCGCGAGTCTCTTCTTGTACGCCTCACAACTCAAGCGAATCCCCTCCTCCAAACCTACTCTTGCTTCGTATCCCAGGATTCGTTTCGCCTTTTCGCCATTCGCATATCTAACAGCACAAGCATCATTCACACTGTCTCTACTTAAAGTAGGTCCTTTTGACCCAGTTAACCACGAGACAACCTCTGCCAACAGGCCGGCTGCCCAGGCTAAACTTTCCGGTACCGTCACTTCATAAGGCGGGATATGTCCGAACTCTTTCCATACAGCTACGCTAAAATCACGGAATGTGATTGGCGTGTTGTTTTGTATAAAGAAGATTTCACCAGCAGCGGTTGGCGTATTCGAGCGGAGATTTTCAGCAGCAAGGAAATGAGCATCTGCGACATTTGTAACGTAGGTTATATCCCAGAGATTATCGGCTGATCCAATAATGAAGGGGGTCTCTCCTTTTGCTATACAGGCGTGTATAGGTGGAATAAGCTGTTTATCACCCGGGCCCATGATGACTGATGGTCGAAGGATGCATGTTGAGAACGTAGTGGAATCTGCTGCTAGAACAATTTTTTCTGCTTTTGCCTTTCGTTCAAATTATTAGTAGAGGATTTCTCATTTTGAGAGTTGAATACCTTTGATTCCCCATAAATTGATGCCCTTTTTGCTGTCGGCCATCTTTCATCAATATTTGGATACGGATGCGCCCAATCATCAACCACGGAGCAACAGCTACTTGTGTAGATAAATACACCTGCCCCAGCATCTCTTGTTGCATTCAAGACATTACGAGTTCCCTCGACATTCACATGTAGTATTATCTCCTCTATCCTGCGATGGTATCTTTCGCTCAACGGAGGAACTATTCCGGCCGTGTGAACAACGACATCCGGCTTGGTGTGGCGAAGGACACCTTTTAGCTTCTCCTCATCTAGAATATCGCATGCCACAAAGCTGATGGTCGGCGGGTATTTCGACTTCTTTTTCCATTCGAAGATACCTTCACTAATGTCCAAGATTATGATCAAACTGAAAGGGTACTTCTTGTACAGTGCATCGACAATGGCCGAGCCAACAAAGCCGAGACCACCGGTGACTAGGACGCTTCGGATCACCATGTTGTAAGCTCGTTGACCTAGGTGTAACACGAAGACGATGTCAAATAAGTTTTGTGTTAACAAGGGAAAGTTTATCAGCAAGTGTGACGAAGATCCTCGTCTCATATGATAGTCACACCTTCCTTGTGGGAGATAGCTCCGAGTCCATTTCCTACTATTGATATTCAAAGACTTATAAAGAGCTAAATTAAGCTTCGCTTCAAAATCAATCACTTGCGAAGAGAATCGATGGAGCTTATTTCCATCTCTATCATCGTTTTCGACACAAGACTTGGCATGGTACTAATATACCCAGCTAGACAAGAATAGACGTTCGTTATGCTCCATAATAGTATTCGCAAACACAGAAATCTCGCCCAGGCTTTCAATTCTTGCAAACTATCATCAACGTCAGCTTGATCAAATGTTTGGTTCCATGACAATCCGGCTACTTGTCTTTCTCGGCGATGATATTCGAAACTAATCCCAGCTCATGGACAATGAAATATATGTTCTAGGCGTTCCCCCCCCCCCCCCCCCCACAACAGGGAGACTGACACATCAAAGTGCAGTGCTTGGTTTCGAGTTAAGCCCTCTAATTCGTTAACTAAGCCCGGTAAGCTTTCAGCCACAGACTAAATAAAGTTATGACTAATGCAAATATTTGCGCCACAACCGTTCTTCAAGCTACATTCACTCGACTTTTCAACTGACATTTCTCAATGTTCCACATCAGAATGCAACTTGTTCAATTCCCCGTACGACGTCGGACGATTTACATAATTGGAGGAACCAAAGGCCCGATGAAATATGACCCCTAATAGTATCAGAGATGACGGAGATCATCCTCATTCCGATGATACGATATCTCACACTAGCATTGGAAAAAGATCTCGTGACCAAATGGAGCGACCACACAAGATACCAAACTCGATAAAGTCATGTAATGAATGTAGGCAGCAGAAAGTAAGTCTCCGCAAAGTCTAGTGTAGCCATGTTCCTGACTCATACGCCTAGCTTGGTTGTAATGTTGAAAAGGACCCATTCAAGCCTTGTTGTAGATGTACCCGTCTTGGCATCGAATGCAAATTAGACTCTGACTTCAAGAGAGTGGCAAAGAGACAGTATGTCGATATCATAACTCATCTTTGAGCGATATAGTACTGATAGGTATGCAGCAAGCATGCGGAAATGCAGAAGGAAATAGAGGAACTAAAAGAATTGATCGCAAAACAAGCAGCACTACTTGCTGTAGCAAATTCTCCTGATAATTTTGGAAAGGAAAACAACGCATCGTCTTCTACAGACTCGAAACCAAAAGATCAAAGGATTGATGATATCTTAGTAACCGGTGAACAACTTTCCTTTCTGTTCGATCAGTTGAGTCTCTCTTCATGTTGTAGCTGCCCTAGAACTCGAGCTCATTTTTTCCATGCAGGTACTTCTCGCGATATCATCATATATGTCCCATTCTGGATCCTACTCAAACATGTGATCAGACCTTTGCTCAAGATCCAGTGCTTGGGTGGGGGATCGTTCTTGTATCAGCTAGACGTTACCCCCAAGATCCTACCTTGGTACTCAACTTGTCGAAAGCATATATGAAATCTTTGTGGAACTCTATATCTGACATGCCTCAAAGAGCGTCATCTATAAAGCTTTGGCATTGTTATGTACTTGGCCTGTACCTTTAATACGAGGCTTTACCAAGAGTAGAAATGATAAAGCTTCAGCTACTATGGGACTGAGTGAATTAGATCCGACCTGGATGTTGAGTGGAATTATGATGCAGATCTCTCTCCAAATGGGAATGCATCGACCCCGACATGCACAAGATTTTCTTAAGCAGACAAGAGATGTGTCTGAAGCTGAATTGAGTGATAGGAAATTGACGTGGGCATTATGTAATATTGTCTCCCAAAGGTTTGATTATAATCCCATTATCATGGATTGAAAAACTGATTTCAAATCCAGTGTTTCGACTGCGAATGGTCAACCTACAATAACCATTTATGATTGGGGACTTGGAGATGGCCTCGAACAAGATTCTGAAGTCCTCCCACCAGGCATCAAACAACGATTAAAGATTGAGAAGTTTTGTCAGAAAGTCTCGAAAACTTTATATGGGAATAGCTCCGAAGTGACAGGAGTCTTATCCAATATCGATGAACAAATTTCAATGACTAACATGCTCGAAAATCAATATCAACAATTAGAGTCCGAGAGTGTTACGTTCTCATGTAAGTACCTTCTTCGGTAACAATTCTTTCTAATCCACACGACTCACAATTCTAGCACTGAATAAATTATACTTACTTGCCGCTCGACTTCATTTGCACACCTTTGCATTCTATGTCCCCGAATTCTCACCAAACCACTTAACTGCTCTTTCTTCGGCATATAACTCTGCCACAAGATTTATTCAAGCACTTCTCGACTACGATCTTCACTCCGAAGCAATACTTCCTTATTGCTCGTATTATATTCTCAAAAATTTAATATGCGCATCATGTGTCCTCCTAAAGATATTGAACAGTACATATGCAATGCAATTCGATAGCACACAAGGGAGATCCCTCTTCAATGCCGCGATCTTGGCATTGAGATCCACAAGTTTAGCTACAAACGACTTCTCGGATCGCATCGCTGAAGCGCTCGCCAGAATGTGGAGGAGTGCTGGGTCAGGGGATTTGAACCGAAGACGCGAAGACTTTTCTCCTATAGATATCAAAATTCAATCCAGAATGTCTATCAGCCATGTTCATGATTGCTTTCTACGATGGAGAAAAACAATTAATCCTCCCGCGACTGGAAAAACTAGCAAGTCTTCCCCAAATCCACCTCTCTACTATCCTCGTTCCGATTTCTTCACCTCTAACTCCCAAATAGTCTCAGATACCAATTGCAACGGTCCTATGAATAATTCTGATACCTCATACAATAATATGACTGGTGATGTTATGCATCAAGATCAAGGTGCCACTGCAACCTATTTTCAGCCTGGATCGCTAGAAGTAGCGATGAATTTCCCACCCATGATTGCGGATTTTGATTTGCTAAATTCATTGGATTGGAATTTCGATGAAAATTTACTTGCTACTTGGACATGAGTGAGTGCGATCGCCCTGCGGTGGCGCATATATACAAAATCTACTTTCTGATTGGTTTACTCTGACGAAGTTGCGTGTGTCAGCTTCCGAGTCGACTGAAGAGCTGAGGAGCGGATTCCGGCTTCATGTATGGGGCAAAATAAGTGTATGGGGAAAATGGAGAATTTGATGATTTGAGGTTCATCATCTACTATATGGGAAGATAAGGAGTGGATTGATGGAAGTGGCCATCATGGAGTAATTTTTAAAACCCTCTACTATTTTTTGTCCGGACTTATACCTATATCCATGAAGATCGCGGACAGAAGACACTACGAGGTACGAGCCGAGCTCCGCCATTATCATCTTATTAGCAGTCACATATTCAAGAATTCGAACAAATATAATCGTAATCCCAAACATGCGTAGAGTCATTCTCTCATTTCTCGTACATCGCTCATTAATCCCGTTCCATACCAAATCCCCATTTTCCTACCACGCCGATCCATGTTTAAATTTTGATCCATTTCTATTCAGCCTTCTCTTTCTCATCGAAGTAAGAATCACAATACCGATATAAAACACTCCCATAAACGCAGCGATAACTGCATAAGCGATTTCTCCATTCCGTGTATTGGCAGCCAACTGCAATCCCAATCCACCATTAATTACCGCGAGCACAATTAATATCCTGCCGTACCATAAATGAATATGTCCAAACATGCCTCGTCTCTGCGCTCGCATGTATCTCCAGTGATGGATGAGCCCGAGAAATGGTTGGATGAAGAATAAAATTATTAATATGATACCGAAGATCATGTGCGTTGTATTTGATATCTATGGATTGTGAGCTGAGAACATCTCGTCAATATGAAAACCCGAAAAAAGAAACTTACAGTCTTCCCCAAAGAAGGAGTCACAGCCGCACCCGTAACAGCAGCAGTCCCCGAGCCCGACGATCCAGAACCAGAACTCGATCCACTCCCCGAATCCGTCGTCGAAGTCGGACGACCGAATGCCCCCGCATAAGTACCCGTCGCCGTAGCCCAAGGCGGCGTACCCGTAAACGTGGTACTTCCAAAATTTCCAAACTGTCTCTTTGTGATTTCCTCAATCACGATGCGTTTTGCGAGTGTGGTTGATTCGCCAAACGAGCCGTATTTTAACCCTGCGAGTTTGATGCCCAAGCCGAGACCTACGATCAGGAAGGAAAAGGAGAGGATTTGGAGAATGGCGTGGAGCCATGGTCGTCCGAATACGCGCATAGAAAGGGCGCCGAGGGGGAAGAGTAATACGACGGTTACACCCATGATGATTCCATGTGCCATGTCGTATGATTGAACTGGGGAAAGTCCACTGGAGCTAGAAGAACTGGATGAACTTGATGAATCTGTAGAGTTACCAGTAGATGAAGTTGTAGCTGCAGAATTTGATGTGAAAGGATTGGTATCGGATTCCAGCTGAGCATGCGACAGATCAAAAGTAAATGATTTATGGTTAGAGCCCGAATGTTGTTTAATGGATGTCGAAGTATCGGTAGTGTCAAGAGCAGAACCGGAATTCCATGCTGCTATCCAATTTGATGATGTAGATGTTGTGGATGATAATTTAGAACTACAACTTGTGCAGAGAACATTGGCGACCATGTTTCCATCTACAATGCCACTCCCAGAAAGTAATTCAACGGTTATACTACTATCATACTTTGGCTCCACTTGTCCGGTTCCTTTTCGAGGAGACAGTGTCACATTACCGGTACCGTCAGCATACATAACGAAGATGGTACTTCCGGACATTTGGGAACCGATGCCAAGAGCAACCCATTGATATGAGGTTGGTGCTGTGAGTTGAAAGTAGACATTGTTTGAATTACTTGAGGAGATTCCGACAGAGTAAGAGGGACCACCAGAGGTAGCAGAATATGTTGCGAGGGAATGAGCAGGGGGAACTACGATGTGCGTCAGTGATCTCTACTCCAGTCAGGCTTTGGGTGGTACATACCGATGCTTATGATCGAGGCTAGGAACGAGCCAAAATTAATTACCTTCATGTTGAATATTCAAAATTATTTCATCACAGTATCGATGTCAAGATTGCATCGAAGGAAACCTCATTATTCAACATGGGGGACACCGGGGTTTTAACACTGGAAAATATTTTAGGACGCCGAAGAAGCAAAATCACCACAAAAGAATTCCTACAAGGTGCTTACGAAATGGCGTCCGCAGCTTGATTCCTCATGCAAGCTCAACCAACCAAATCAATTGGAAGAAACAATTGAAGTTGAAACAGATCCCGCATCTAAGTTTACCTTCCCGCGCCTTCGTATCGGTAGTGCAATTATAGTTTTACTTATAGATTAAGCATCGGAGACGTGCAATCAAAACTTTGATGTGTTCTTAAAAAGCGGTAATCTCAGACATCCTCTGATAAACCGGTAGATCTACAGGACGTGCGTGATTCCCAATCTATCATTTTCATAGAGATCCCGGACGGTCAATGCTCTTGTCAGAAGTTTGATGGAAATTTGAGTTGTAGGATCAGCCGATTCAGCCAAGTGAATTTGGTATTTATCGGGCTCATGTGGTGTTTTGTGTCAACGATGATCGTAATGATATGGATGGATAAGAGAGTATTGATTGCGCGTCCATGCGTATGCCAAGTAATTGTGAGGTATACCGGTAAGGCTGGGACGTGATACTGAGTGTTTATTTCAATACAGAAGACTGTACTTTGCAAATGGGGCTGAGATATCGGAGTTTTGTAATGGGGAAGTCCGATTCCAACAACACCCTTGTGTGCGGATATTGAGCCCTGTGCCCGGACAAATAGACTTATGGTTTCAGCGGGGCGAAGCTTTTGATAAAAATTATAAATCAATAGCTACAAAGAAACCTGAGATATCGAGGTTTAAAAGCATAGAGAAGAGTGGTTAAATGGGAAATCAAAATACATCGATGAAAGACATGACCAATATGGCGCTTTGAGATTGTGCGCCAACGCAGAACAAGAATAATAGAACATAACTATGGATGCACACGCAGAAAAAGCAAAGACATACCATTCAATGACGTATCTCACTGGAGATCCCAAATACACGGTTGCTTTCACAAAGGTTTACGCCCAATGCCCTGGACGCAACCCGAATTCCCTTCTCCAAAATTATGTTATAACTTCCCTATCCACTATTGACTTATCGCTAGCTACTATATCCAACACATCGTAAGCATTCGGTTTCCCATGGCTCCACTAAGTTGGTTAAGCTTCTCTTTCACCGCGCGAGATCCAAAGCCGCATTCTGAAAGGCGCGAAGTGCGAGTCATTGAACACAAATTGAATGAAATGTTCGAATATGTAGTGGGCTTTCTTTGAAAGACACAAAAAGGCCACCGTTTCAGCGATCTGTTGCCTCGCAAACTTCGAATTCCCAAAAATTTGTCGTGTTTCATCCGCATCCAATCTTTTCCATCCAGTAAGCCCAGAGACTCCACGGATCCCACATTGTCGTGGGCTTTTCGGGAATTTGTGCCCTCCATAATTTTTCCCAATAGCCGTCTCAACTTAGACTTGCAACTCAGTATTCCCTTCTTTCGAAACGCCCAGAAATTCGCTCCAACTCTTTCATGAGAGAATTCAACGATTCGCTTGCTCTCCTGGCATTATCTTCCTCCTCCCTTCTTTTGAATTCTACCTCTTCTACTTCCGCATTCTTTGCGGCTTCGCTTTCGCTTGATCCCTTCCTATAGGAATAGCGTCTTTCTCGCTTCCCTTCGTACGTATAGTTACCCGATGCCTTTGACGTTTGAGAGGTTTGAGACCCCGCGTCACTTATTGCTTTTTCATACTGACGATCGTAACTACTTCGCCGATCTTTATCAGATAACACTTCGTACGCAGTCCTGACCTTTGAACAAATTAGCATTCAAGATTTCTTTTAGGTTCCCCTATTGTTAGACGAAAAATAGTCAACCTTTATAAATTCCTTCGTTGGCCCACCATTATTTTTGTCAGGGTGATAGGTTTTAGCCAAAGCGAAGAAAGCATTTTTTATGTCTTGCGCAACAGCATTGTGTGAAATTCCAAGAGCTGCGTAGTGATCTGGTATTAATTGATCCATAATCTAAATCTGGGGAAAGGATCGCTTTGGGGTATTCATACTCCCATTGTGGGCGTGGCCCACTCTTGTTTGCACTTTAGAATGCTTGTCGTGGCCCGCAATGCTGCATAAGGGTGTGACAGAATGGTACGTGTCAGTGCTTCATTGCAGTACGAAAGATTTCAATAAGGTAGCAAACATGATCAAGGCGGTTTGATAGCATTTCCACATGTTAATGCGCAAAGTTCCTGAGGAGGAAGTCAACTCAAAATGCCGGGGAAATGTGTCAACTCATGACTGAATCACATCCAGGATATAAGGCGCAATACTATCGCTTGATAAACGGCATATGATCAGGATGGTAGGAGGATCTTCATAAGCCTACCGTAGCATAAGGATCCATTTCCATTACTTTTCGATGGGGAGGCGCACAGGCTTTTCGTCCCTTTAAACGTTGGTGGTGTCACTCTAACCACTTCTTTCAAGATTGCAAAACTTCCAATAGGCACCTACGTGAATATATGAGTAATATTTGCTTCGATATCTCGAGGCCCGAGAAATTCTTGCGAATCAACATAATATAGAATGTTTATGCCTAGTACCGTGAGATGAGTGTGGTTTTCTAGGTTTGTAGCTTCTGCTGTACACCCTGACTTGTTCCCGTTCTCTCTCTGCCGAGTCTCGGCACTTTCGGCGACTAATCACGAAAATGCGACAGCTGATTTGGGCTCTTTGGGAGGTCCGCTAGCAATCCTTTTGTGAAGTACTTCTAAACAGGCTCCTAGATATTGGCCGAGTGCGCAGTTTACAGTTCGCACTGGGTCTGCAACAATTTTGCGATGGAATATTAGGGTCTCCGAGCGACAACCTATCCTTAGCAAAGTGTCGATTCATTCATTATTTCCATCTGAAGTTGCCAATAGTTTCAACACCAGTATTCCATATCCAACATCAATTCTGGTTGCAATTACATGTGGGCTCGAGGCCGTAGAGAAATGAGCGCGCTTTAAGGAGTTGCGTTGACCGCACTTGCATATCGGCGCGTGCCTGGAGGCACTCTGGAACTTCGCATGAAGGAATTCGCATTGCCAAGCATAGCAGAGGGAGGAAGGCCAGCGCAAGCTATGGCATTCTCTTCAACAACTATCGATGGGGTGTCTTATCACATCAACCATAACGCTCACAGCCTTCGCGGGTAATATGCCACGGCTCGTCAGATTGAGATAAAGTTGAGGTAGGTTCTTTCGAGCTGGGAAGTGGATGTGATCGTTTTCAATTCGGCATATTGGTGACGAAGTTGTCTCTGAAGATAAAATTCGGAAATTGTATCTCGCACTGTAGTTGATGAAAGTTCGCGAAGAGTGAGATAACTATCGTGCTTCTAAGCAAGAGTAGGGATGAAAGGAAAACACAACGAGAGGGATTAATCTCTTTAAAAAAAGAGGTGAAGAAATTACAGAATGGTCAGTCAATGAAGTTCAAATCAAAGAGGGACGAGCAGAGGGAAGAAATGCTTACCATCAAGCATCGTTGAAATAGAAGCCGGAGTTAGAAATCACTTGCACCGACATTGATTACTAATAATCAGTGACTTAAATCCCAACCATGCTAATTATCACAACAACCAAAAAAGTCATCAAGATAATCATGGCCAGCAAACAAACTGCAAATGCGTTGAGAATCTCGCCTCCACTAATAAATTCAGCTAATCCTGTAAGTCTATTTCCACAATACTGACTTCCTTCTCTGTAAAAGAAAGCTGGGAGACTTCTGTTCTGTCTTGAATGGCACTGTGTCAAAAGTGTTACTGATAGCGCTTTTATGCTCTTTCTTAAGAAGATATAAGTTGGATATATTTTCCAAGTGGGAAGTACTGATCTTACAAGAGTACTATGAAATGTTAGGAGCTCATTGTCATCACTAGTGGGCAACAAGTAAATCCGAACTCCTCACCCTTTACAGCTGTCCTCACACCGGTGCAGTTACGGTCAGAACTTCGCTTTTGAATCCGTTTCCACACAACTCACAACTACACCAATATACTTTCTTTGATCCTAAATCCAATGTCACCAGCGCCTCAATTTTCGAGGGCCGAAGTAACGTCATTTCAGGCGAGACGAATAGCCTAAACACACTCGGTTATTCTCCTATATCTTTAGACTCGTACTTGAAAATTCTTCTTGAGCTCGCGCAAGATGAAAGCATTCAAAAGGTTACTTCCAAGCCATGGATAATTTCCGTCACCGGTTCAGCTGAAGAGGTTGGTGAATGCTATGAGCATATTTTGCGACAACATGGAAAAGCCAATCTGACTCTTATGATGGAAATCAATCTTTCATGCCCTAACATCGTGGGGAAACCACCTCCAGCATATGATGGGGAAGCAATGGCCTCGTACATTAAAGTCATAAAAAGTATGAAAATCGGGACAACCGACAGAATTCATGTAGGCATTAAAACTCCGCCGTACACGTATTCTGAGCAATTTAAGAACTTGATTTCAGCTCTGGAATCCGGAGCCTTGCCTTCTGGAGACAATGCCATATCATTTATTACTACAACCAACACACTCGGGTCATGCTTGATCATAGATGACCTGGGCAACCCTGTACTGGGTTCTTCAAATGGTGAAGGTATTGGCGGAATGGCCGGTGATGCATTACATCCCATTGCTTTAGGCAATGTCAACACGATCCGAAGAATGCTAGATACATCACCCTTAGAACACATGAAGAACATAGAGATAATCGGTGTTGGAGGTGTAAAAGACAGCACGGGGTTTAGCAGGATGCGTAAAGTCGGTGCGTCAATAGTGGGGGTGGGCACGGCATTGGGAAGAGAAGGAGTAGGTATCTTTGAGAAGATTCTTTCCGGGGCGGCAGAACAGCTTTAAATGAACAATCAATATTCCGCCTTGATGCGTATGTCATGTTGCGATGTTGTCCTGGCTGGAACTTACGTGAGTGGCGCATATCCCTCATGTGATACGTTCGCATTCTCATTTAGAGGCAAATAGTCTCTACCGTCAGAATAAACATTGCCCTCCCTATATGCTACCTTAGATAGACCGTCCAGAAACAACAGATTTTCTAGATATTGATGAGTCCACCTTCTCGCTCTTGTGTTCGTGAGATGCTCCATGTATCATTCTCGCCGAGATGCCAAGAGAGAGTTAGAAGTCAACATTTTAGTTTTCAATACGATTGAGTTAAAAACTTCGGGTTATGATAAGTATGGAATTTGGCTTTCAAGCGTTTTTCCCATCCCTTTCCGTGTTCTGAAGATTATTGTACGCATGCTATGGTGATGCTCAAATACGAAACTCGTTCCACCACCTGTCTTCATCTTTCAATTGACCATTCTCATCGAACTCAACTCCCTCACTCTTCAGCAATCCCAACTTTTCATCTTGATTGACACCAGACGGGGCATTCTGCGCTTCGCCTTTGAATCCTCCGATCGCCTATCGTTTACGAACTCATCAGTATTGAGAATAATTTATGATCACTGACTTAATGGACTAATAAAGAGTTCTTACCCCATCAGCACAGATTATTCGATGGCATGGGACCTGCGGAGCATAAGGATTCCGTCTCAAAGCTCCTCCAACTGCACGAGGAGCAGTTGAGAGAGCTTTGGCAAGAGAAGCGTAAGAGGAGACCTTCCCTGCCGGAATCTGGAGGAGAAGAGTGTAGACTTTCTGTGGAGGTAGAGTTAGAAAGATGACAATAACATTAGCTGAAACATACTCGTTGGAAATCTGTGATACCTGTCATGGTGAGATTACTTGAATCAGATAGAGAGCTCGTTTGCGACATTGCTACAAGGAAGATTTTATGGCCTCTGGGCTTCGAAGTGACAAATCTTTGGATTCTTGACTGGACTTGTGGTTTTCAAATATCCTACTTTTGATCCTTTCGCGTCAAATATAGCTTGCGGAAATGCAAAACAAGAGTCTCTCAATAACTTAGATTGCACCGTAGGCTTATTTTATTTGTGCTTTGAATTCGCGACAGCCCAATCCTATTCACTACAATGTCTGCAAGTATTAAAGATATCTCGAGGAAGGAAATCTCTTCCTATCTAGAAAGAAAATAAGGCAGATATGTGTATGAACGGTCTTGGCAATGAGTGGATGGCGATGGAAGGTTCTCATTGGTCACTTCTATCACAGTGTTGCTGAGTCATCTTCTCGCTCAACGACACTTCACATTATTGGGGGTTGAGGATATATTACTATGTATCCAAATGTATTCAATCGAATTCAGAGCAATGTATCTAATCATGAATTCTCATCACGGGTGATGAATGAGTTAGTTCAGATGTCAAACAATCATCTCTTCCCTACTTCAACTCGACGCTACCGAGCGCTCCTATCTCGCGATCCTCTGGCGCATTCTTCATTTATCTATAGCGTGATCACGACCAAAATATATTGTCGTCCCACTTGTCCCTCGCGCCTCGCACGTCGTGCTAATATTGTATTCCACGAGACTGTGGAAGAAGCGGAGAAGGATGGCTTCCGAGCTTGCAAAAGATGTCGGCCTGATATTGATGAGACGAGGATCAAGAACAGAGCAGATGGGGGTTTAAACCCAAATAATAGCGCTTCTGTGAACTTAAAAATAAGTTCTAAGGCTGACGAATTGGGTGAAATGGGAAGAGGGAGAAGGATGGTTGATAAAGCCATGAAATTAATTGAGAGCGAGCTGGCCAATGGTGATCAGAAATGGACGATAAAGAAAATGGCAAAGGAACTAGGACTGACCGAAAGTCACTTTTGTAGAGTGTTCAAGAGAGAGACAGGTGGAACTTTCGGAGAATACAGGGTGAAAGTCATCGGGCAGCAGTCGGTGGAAATGACTCAGGGCTATGAGACGATGGACAGCTGGAGTATACCCACGGATACTGATCTGGTGTTCAACTGGAATAGTTCCTGGAATCAGATTTACGACATGAGCAACCCAGATACCAACATTTTGTCTTTTGATCTTCACCCGACCAGTGTATCTGACATTCATTCAGACGACGGAATGCAGTTTTTGAACCTGGAGTGCTGTGAAGATTGATTAAAAATCCAAATCACATAAGATCAGTCCGACAACTTAATCTTTCTTTCAAAAGCATAACCGTCAATCTTTTACATTCTGACGTTTTATACTTCATTTCTTTTCTAAAAACAGAAATTTTGTCGAACAACCCAAATCAGGGACAGTGGAACTTTATTTTCAACTATTATGTACCGGCGATCGCTAGCATAGATAAGGTTTCAACGTCAGTATACGTTGACTTAATTCGAATTCAATGTACCAGCGTTACAATCTTTTCCATCGCCAGAGAATGCAAGTAGTATCAACTCATTATCACATGAGGATGCTTCTCTCTTTCCACAAAACCAAGTGCTTCAAAGTAGTTTCTCTAAGTGCTCGATGTGTACCACTCTTAGAGTTATCATCAGCGCTGTAAGTATCGTTGCCATCTCTTATGGTTTTCCAACTTTTTAGATGTTCGTTTTTGGGAAGGGGGGGCTGGGAACAGTCCTGTATACATTAATTGTACTATTGGAATTCACGGGAAAACTCGAATACTTGAGACTACTTATTACATTTATTGCCCTAAGAATACATGCAGCTCCAAAAACTATCCCGATGTTTTCCAAAACATCAATTGTTTTGCGAGACACAAAAGAAACCCCCTGTACATATTCTCCGGTACATGCTAACAACAACCTGAATTTTCCGATCACTATGATAATTTATGAAACTTTTCGAATTTCCAAACTTGCGATGCGTGCCAAACACACACAACAGAAATTTGAAATCAAATTATCAAAGAATCAAACTTCCCAGTGCCACCATAAGATTCCATTCGTGGGGAATATATCGGGTTGGAGACCCCTGCTAAAAGGACTGAGTAGTAAAATGTTAGCTATAGTTCAGCTATAGTAGCAGGAAAATGAATGGGAAAGTACAAACATCATCTTCTTAAGCCAGAGCTTGAATCAATCTATTCAAACATTTTCTCGAATCGGCAGTGAGCTCTTTTGTATTGGGGTCGACAACTGCCCAATCACAATCCAAATCCATGTTGAAGAAGCGATAGATAACGTCTGGAACTTCTTTGCAAAATTTCAGACCGACTCTGTCGTCATATGCATAGGCATATGAATTCTTGCATCGGTTTGAGAAGTGCTGGCTAGATGCTCGGCACTGGTTGTGATTGTGGACGCCTCTGCAGCATGCCTCATCGGTATTGTGAATCTTGCAATCGGAGGCACAACCCGCGTGGTTTGGCTCGTCACCAAGAATAACCTTATGAGTATTTGGGCACCAACTGCCGGTCGGCTCTTCGGTGCAGCCGTACGGAAGACACTCCTTGCTGTCAGGAACTACGAGCATTTGGGTTGTGTAGCCATCTACAAGACTGTGATCCAAGTGAGCTCCACCAGCGTGTACATGGCCATTACCCTTTGGGTTAAAAGTGGCTTCGTTGACATTGTAAATGTCGCCATTCTCTCTATAGCGGAAGCCTTCGGTGGTACATCCGGTACCGTTATCATTGCAGCCGAATTGGATAATTTCTCGTCTGGTGTAAGCGGTGCCCTGGGGCCAGAACTTCTCAGTATTTGCTTCTACTAAGACCTCGCCCGGCTTTATCTGTGGACGTTGCTGATTTCCAGAGGTTCTAAATGGTACATGCACGTAGTCGTCGTTGTAAACTACGCCTTCCACGAAAACCGGCTGCTGTGTCGCGCCAGAATTTACGTACACATTAACTGTACCTTGAGCGTTGCCTGTAATACTACCCCGGACCTTGTGGAATTCATGTATATTTGCGAAGCCGACAAGGTATGGCGCGGCAGATATTTCGTCTGCGAAGTACTGAAAGTTGGTGGGAAGCTTTGCCGGCTCTTGAGCCATGATTCTTGCGGCGAAGACCAAGAGAAGCCCAATGTATGGGTTGACAATTTTGGAAAATTTCATCATTTTAAATGTTTTAAATCCTATAATCTGTCAGTCATGAATGATAATATTGTAGATGGCTACATGTATCTCCATCATTCGTTACGATCTCTAAAGGTCCAACCACTTCGTTGTAACTATGAATAAAAGATTTGGGGATACTGACCTGAACTCGAGTGATATATGAGCCTTTGAGATGATTGTAGTAATCTGTGTTTTCGAATTCAAGCTTGAGGATTTTGAATGAGATCTTTTGGGGGGAGAGATGAGTCCTTTTATACATAAAATTGAACCAAATGCGCTAACGCAAATATCATCTTACATTTGTCAGATAACTGATCTTCAACACCAAGATACTCAAGAGCATCGAGGTTTTCAAGGCTAAAGTCTCTAGTCTTTACTTGAAAGGCTCACAATTAGATGCCACATCATCTTCATGGCGATGTCCAATCCATTCTCGCACTCTCATTATCTCATCTAGACTTTGACTATCATTGCTTTGAAGCTTCCAAAGTAGCTAATTTGGATATGAGGAATTTTTCTCCGATGTGAAAGCAAACTCGCAGTCCTTAGACTCAAATTTCAACTGTAGATCTCGCATAGCCATGGTTTACCAATAGTACCAATCGCTGTGCGGGTCAGAAATCAAGAATTTTGTGCCAAAAAAGAACCATTCTTTTTTCCCAGACGTACACTAATGTGTACATCGTTTGGAAAACCGTATTATCTGTCATCTAGATTGCTCCTCCTTCTTCTTCTCTCTCCTCTTCACCTTTCATCTTCACCTTCCTTCTTTCCTCGTTTCTTGGGATCCGCTTTTCGGGGGAAAGGACACTTCCTTTTTTTTAGTGTTAGATTACGTATTGCCATATTATCATGGGTGAGTTACTCTCGAGCTACCAAAAATAAATGATCTGCTCACTCTCATGTCACTTGGGTTCTACGATGGCTAGAATCTATGACGAAAGACTGGAACCTATGATTGAATGTTAAAGGTCCATGAATTTGAGATAGAATCTGTTTAGAGCTTCCAGCCATGATATTCCACAATCTAGGTGGTATGAGACTAAATCCATTGCAAGTTTTGTGATATGAAAGTAAATTTTTTAAACTTCCGTCAGCCAACTAGTAGAATGTACTTGGCAATTGTTAGTCGGTGACTAGCACGCGCTCAACGGTCGACTATTAATTAGCGAGGACCAAAAAATCCCTTTTTTTGAGGGATTTTTTGACCAGTCTTACCCTTTCAATTATGTCACAATAAACTTTAATGATGCTTCAGACTATATTTGGAATGTTGGCAAAGATATCTATTTTAGAAAACCCAAACTACGTGCATTTCGGTGTTCGACGTAGGCAAAGTAGGTACCTATTTGAACATTCTCAAAGTGAATAAATCGCAATAATAGATGCTTATAACTTACCACGAGTGTCAAAATTCACAATGATCTTCACGACTTATTTTAGTTATTTCCCAAAACTCAGGACGATCATGTCGCAAGAGACTTACGTAGGTGCCATTGGAAAGCGCTTGTCGCCAATAATAAGGTTTATAGACAAGAGAAAGAGCTGATCAGTTATGATCTCCCACCAGGCAAATCATGTTCAAGAATTATAGAGTTGCTTTGTCTCACATTCTCCAGCATCGGCTGTTCGTTATTGGATCATCAAACTGAACATCTGCTTAACCACTGAATTGCTAGACTTAAGCCATTGACTTCTCGAATTTCCAATCTTGTACTACAATGGAACAAAGGAACATGATCTCATAAATTAAGTTCAGTGAGTTGGGAAATGTAGATCAGTCATATTGAAACCCAATTTGATAATCCAGGGCCATCGTGAGATTGTATAGGAAGGTGCTATAATATCTTTCCTTGAGGGAGGGAAATTCTCGGCGTAAGCGAGGCACTTTGATCCGACAGCATCTCGAAAGTTAGAACTAGAAGCTCGAGATCGTTGCGCAGGTGTATTGGAGAAAAGTTGAACGTATTCCTTGCGCAGGGTACATCAAGGTCGGCGCATTCAATGTATGACCTATGCATAGCCATGATCTTCATGACTGGATCTGAATGAGAACTCAGTTCTTGTTGACCTCGTAGCAGATCACTATAACTTGATAACCCTACAAAATGATCTACAGGAACATCACTAAAATAATAACATGAGACCGCTTCTCGAACTACTCAGGTCTTCTCGATTGGCAAATGGACTCAAACCTTTCTTTTCTGCACATCTAAATCACGGTGCTCAACCAAATTCAACGTATCGGCATTGCGTTCATGAAGTTTTCCAAAGTAATTCCAAATGCATTGGCACTATACTTCAAACTGGATATCGAATATAGCCACGCGCGGATCTTTGCACAAAGCCAGCATACAGCTTTTCAACGAAAAGCTAGAATCTGGTAGGCTTTTCACACGAACATGTTATGATGCTACGATCAGAGTTTGTTACTTGCAGAATTTTCACGAAATGATCGCCTAAACATCGATCGGGTGTGAACTCTTTCTAAATCAGCAGTTCAGCTCGGCGAATATGGAATGATGGCTTGTCTTTACCAGGAAATCTTTGCTTTCGACGAAAGGTAATATCGGATATCACAACCACATTGCCGTAGGCACTAATATAGTCATAGGCCGTTCTTCAATCCCTTGTCCTATGAAATATGTATTGCAAACCCATTTGCGATTGATCGTCGGCATTTTCCCCCCTTGAATCAACATCGTCCTTGATGGTATATATAACCTTTTAGTACACTCATGGGGTAGCTCAGTGTCTCATTATCGGGCACACTGTGGTGCAGACGTGATTGGGTATTGTATTTTTTATTTGGAGGTAAGTAAAATTGACTTTCATACCCAGAAGATTGGTCTTGAATCTTGAAGGATCATGAGTTATTGCTCGATAAGTCAATATTGATGAGTGAGATTTCTGGCACTTCCATATGTTCCGCATGTTCCGTAAAGGACACATGTTGTTGCGATCTGTCTAACTTTTTTGTCGACGTGGTGTTCTTGATTATCTCTGAACGTGTGGTTAAGATACCATTCAAGTCAAAAAATCGAAAGCTTTAGACACATGTCTTAACATCGTCAGGAGTCCAGGGCGATGGCCCCCAAAAGTTTGGAGGGTTATTCACGTGACTTTACAGAAACATTTATGTATCATTACCTACATCAATTAATTTGTCAGAGGCTTCGGTGTTCTTGTATGAATATGGTATTATAATTTAAGGTAATTACATGAAGTTATTATAATGTGCAATTCGTATAAGTATAGACGTTGGTTCAATCTCACCGACTATGGCAATTCTTGTACAGGTTCATCCTGGTGTCCGTATTCGTTGATCCTTCTGCTGGCGTCCATTTCGTATTTGGACTGAATTCTATGAAACTTATGAAATCCTGCAAATGCAGGAGGTTGTTGGTATACGACTTCAGTGGATCTCGGTTCTTGCTTAAGCTTCTTCTTTCGGGGCATACACCAAGCAACTCCAGTGAGAATAGCCACCACTGAGACGATACCGACAGCTATACCTGCAAGCAGACCTTGATAAAGACCAGTCTGCTTATTGGATTCAGCATCCATTGCTGGGTAACTGGATTCGGTTGTGTCGCTTGCTCCGGGCTTTGTTTCGAAGGTTCCGTTAACTACCACTGTGCCATTTGTAGTTACATTGACACAACTCTGAATGGTGTCTTTGGATATAATGGGCCAATATCTCTAGCCGTAGATGGATTTGCTTGTCAGAGTGTGAAAGCGTTCTCGTCATGGTCGACCATGAGATAAGCTGCCGTCAAGAAATAACGACTTAAAGTTGATGACCGATCTCTGTGACGTCGTACAGAAACTATCGTTCACTTTCGTTAGACCCTCTCTGCCATCTTGTTCAATCGCGACGAACGGAGGCATAAATTGACTGTTTGAGATGGTGACTTGTATGCTGGAGCTAAGCGTTATTGCCATATCTCCCTGAAAACCAAAACTTAAGTATTAGGCAAGAACACAGAATCTGACTTTAAACCTTACTAATTTTTTGCATCGTGTTGTTAAGCGAGCCAATACAGCCCGCGAGAAACTCCTGTAATCCGATTACAAGTCGGGTACCTACTTTCGGGCCACCTCTGTTTGTTACGGGAGCTGCCTTTAGGGTCACGTGGAAGTGGCTAGAGATCTCTCGAGGTGGTTTAGACTAGACTTCAAGTAGGAATTCAATAAGGTTGGTAACTGGTTGCAATTCTCGTAACTATAGTAATGAAACTAATGATTGTTCTTGAGCACGAAGCTCTATATTGTAATGAAATCCCATTCCCTTATATAGACCTTCGTTCTCTGTTGTCCCACTGCTTCCCACTGTGTCCCACTGGGCCTTACTCAGTGAGACTCAGTGGGACACCTTGGTCAGGTGATATTCAATTAATCTAGTCATGTGACGACCTCAGTCGTAACACTGTTTTGGGCCACTCTTTACCACCAAAAATCTCAAAAAATGGAATTTTTAATTTTCTTATTTATAAATAAAATTTATTGGAAATTTGCATATATATAATTCAGATTGTTTTGAATCTAATCTGAAATTCTTAGATTTTTAGGATTTTTTTATATTGAAATTTAGAGTTTTAAGATATCGATTTTTTAATTTATATAGGAATCACATACAAATTTAAAACTTTTATAAAATCTTTAATAATTTTTTAATAAAAATTACTAAAAATAAACTATAAAGTTTTATTATAAGTTTATAATATATCTTTTTTGAAAAATTAAAAAAATAGAAAACTTCTTATAAATAGATATTTAGAAGAATATTCTTAAAATTAGAAGGATTATTTATACTATTTTAAACTCATTATATATTATATCTTTATATCTATTAATTTTATTGAATTTTTATTGAATTTTTATATAAATTAAGTTCAAAACTTTAAAAAAGAAATACAATTTTCTTTTAATAATTGTTATTAAAAAATTATTAAAGATTTTATAAAAGTTTTAAATTTGTATGTGATTCCTATATAAATTAAAAAATCAATATTTTAAAACTCCAGATCTCAATATAGAAAAATCTTAAAAATTTCAAAATTTCAAATCAAACTAAAAACAATCTAAATTATATATATATAAATTTTCAATAAATTCTATCTATAAATAAGAAAGTTAAAAATTCCATTTTTGGTATGAAAAGTGGCTCAAAAGGGGGGTGGCCCGAAATTAGGGAACCCGACTTAGGTTTTGTTCTGAAATTTATTCAATATTGATTCAGGGGCCTCGATTAAGAGTTACCGTTGTGAAACAATGCAAACCGGCGGAGCGAAATTGGGAGGAAGAATACTGGTGGTACTGCCACTGCGACCAATAAGTTCAATATCAGATAAGTTATAGTAACTTTCATACCAGCACACCTGATGAAGTACGGTAAAACATTCCAAGCTTTACCACGCCTGAACAGGCCATTTTTTGAAAAGCAAGATCTCCATCGAACTCCAATAATGGGGGTTCATTCATAGCATAGTTTGTCGTCTTTTGAAAATATCTTTTCTTATAACCTGGTACAGTTAAGGCTCAGTTAGTAGACAACATGCTTTGGATACAGAGACGACCTGAACCAAATTGCTGGTACAAAATAACAAGTTTTACTAGCTGAATGCAAACAGTTGCTTGTCATCTTTCACCAGAAGGATTCAGAGTTGATATATCGTTTATTTTTTCTCCATCAGAAGAGTTCGGGGACTTCGTTGCGCTTCACATGGGCGCTTAATATGACGCTTCATACGAGCAGCAAATCACGATAGCATTCCGAATTCCATGGAAATTGATAACCTCCATTATCCTGCGCCCTTCACGTAAGAAATCCGTTGGTGACCCCTCCACAGATAAAGTTTACACATTATGTAGACATCAAAGACAGCTCAAGATTAGCATCATTCATTCTCCCACGAATTTGCAAAGAGGCCTGGCTCCCAGGTCCCCTTCGGAAATTAGACATGACAACCCGCGGAAAAACTAGGAAAACTGCATTGTAAGAAAGACAGCGTCTGTTCAAAAGCCCTAGGTCCCTCGACGTTGAGAAATATGCTCGGAATGTGGAAGGAAAAATTAATTTTGTAATCAAATGCGCGGGTATCGTGACCAAAGTTGGTCCTCAATGCCAACGCGTAAGATCGAGAGATCGAGTCTATATGTTTTCACTAGATGTACGAGAATGTATCCTGGGAGTAGCGAATGGGCAGTTGTCGAAATCCCGGATTCGTTGTATTTTGATCCCGCTGTTGACTGTCAGGTTACAGTAGGTATCTCGACACCTGTCAATGTACTTGACCGATCTATTTAGCTTATTGAATTCATGCCAAAGTCATTATTCTCCTACTTTAACTATATATTAGGGGCATCTCAGATGGTGCCGATACGGCGATGCAGACTTATTTCGACAGTCGAAATTAGTGGAGTAGTAAAAAGACGTGGTAGTTGCAGCTCTGGCAGACACAGTAACTCGTGCTTTGTTGATCAAGCTCGAGAATAGATCTAGATCAAGCTCTTCATGCATTTGGGACCGACTCTCTTTTTGGCGTACAATTACGGAGAATTGGCGACGGAAACAAGCCAGATAAGGTTGAATAGCTCAACAAGGGCTTTTCTAGATTCTAATTATCACCCTTGGTGATGGCATGACATTTTGGTTATATTTTAAGTCGAATATAGATGAAATATAATTTCAATTTGTTTAGAATTAACGACGACATTGAATAAGAAAATCCATTTATTCGATCGTTTCTAGCAAAAATTGAGATGTGTGCCTATCAAGTTTCGACCTTTATCACATGACCCGGATGACTCCTTCTGTTTCAAACTTACTAAAATGATACTGACATTGGAATAATATCACACCTTTGAAGTCTTTCCTCTAGAACTCCCGATTGACTGTCCGAATAGACTTACTTCATATCATCTTCCACTTCAATTCAAGATCTTGTTCTTTTTGTTGTACTTACCTGGACTCTTGTCTTTTGAAGAGATAGTAGGTCTAGAGGTGAAGAGCGAGCGTGATAGGCCTTGATACCTCTATTTAGTTTCGGACCAGCCTTTAAAAATCTAAACAACATCAATTGGCATTGATCATCTATAAGAACCGTGTGGTGTATGAAGACGCTAGAAGTTGTTCTATTTGGAGAAACTCGATCCTCGTCGGCTGAAAGATAAGGCGTCTCCAGAGGTTGCGGCTGAACCAATCTAGATGAAACCATATGTTACATATCAAATTCACGAGGACAATGTTCTTCTTAGAAAGTTACTCCGCATTATATTGCACCATCATCAACATCATACTCTCGGGAAGACGGTTCATCTCAACCATGGAAACAGAATACATTCTGCCTAATATTATTGACCGAAGAGACCGCTGAAATGAAATTGTGGGCCTTGAAGTCGTCAAACATATTAACAAAACCAGCCATCTTTATTCCAAGCTCCACCAAAGCTTGAGGATATACTCGAGTACCATCATTTTCCCGGTCACTTCGATAGCCTGCGATGTGTTCTATTTAAGTCTACTGCATACTGGGTAGCTGTTCAAATAGACCATATGTTGAATGATCACGGACCAACCTTGGATGCTATTGCTAGCCCGGTCTCTGATCCGCAAATCACGTCTGACCGCGATAATTTCATTGAAGATCTGTTCTCGATACAAAAAAAGTTGGGTTCTTTCGAATGACCAGCAAGGAAGAACAGTCTCTTAGTCCAACGCACAAATCAATGATCTTGAAAATCTTTACCTCAAACCTTTGTAAAGTGTTCCCCCCACGCCGTTTTGTTTATATTGAGGTTTCCTCAACTTAGGTTGGCCTGTCCCGGATCTTCATATAAAATGTGGATCGCCAGGGGTTTTAGTCTAGAACATTACACAGACCATGCAGATGCATGAACGTTACCTTTCGTCGTCAAGTTTCAACTTGTGATGAACTACTTTTGACTTTTCGACTCACTAAGGGTTGATATGAAACGACGGCTAGTGAAATTTAAACATGAGGTTGTCGATGAAACTAAAACGGTTAGACGTGTTGTCATGAGGTGACAATCTAGAGCGACCTCCGAGATCATTCGTTTCCGGATTGGAAAACATGGTGATGAGCTAACTGAATATGATAGCAATATCGGCTAAGTTTCAATGACTAGTTGCTGACTTCGCTAAAAGAGCGATTTTTCAGAGGATACAGCTTTACTATGATATTTACAGCCTGCTACCAAAGATGACATGAACGTAGCCAGGTATCGGGATGGCCCGTGTGCTTTGACATCGACCTAACACACGGCAGCGCCGAATCACGGGTACTCGAAATTTACAGGTGTCCGCTTTGCATTAGCATGATTACGCACATGGCGATATATCCGTGCCTGGAATGTCATCAATAACTTATCAGGGACACAAAAGCGAGACGAAACAAAGCGCTCGCAAGTTCCCAAACCCTGGACCACAGGATGGACTGTCGTCTGTGCTAATACTGGACTCGGAGAATTAGACATGCAACAAGAGGACCTTGGGATGAAGTATCTTACCCATTAGTGGTCTAAAGCCTCGAAGTTCGGACTCA